AGGGTTTAGGATATAGGGTTTGGGGTATAGGGTTTAGGGTTTAGGGTTTAGGGTATAGGTTTAGGGTTTAGGGTTTAGGGTATAGGGTTTAGGGTTTAGGGTACCCCGAAGCCCCAAACCCCAAACTCTGAAGCCCGGCCGGCCTGTGGTACAGGACCCCTGGCCCACCGTTGCAGATGGTGAGGCGGTAGTTGGGGCCGTCCTCGTGAGTGCGCCGCGGCGTTTGGGGTTTAATGGCTCAGGGATTCAGGCTTTAAGGTTGGGGGCATTAGGGTTCAAGAATTTAGAGGTTTGGGATTTCGGGTCAAGGGAGATCTCGCGCTTCGGACTTTTTGCAAAAGCTTCGGGGAGTTTGGGCTTTGGGCGCTTAGGAGTCCTAGGTTGTAGGGCTTCGTTGCACGATGGCCGGGTCCTGAAAGTGCATTTTTAGGGTTTAGGGTTTAGGGTTTAGGGTTTTTTTGTGGTACCTCCTTTATTTTAGAGGTATTCAGAAGGCACCAAGTTGAAAGGCTGCTTCCATTGATGGTGCGGGATCCCTCCGATGTAGTCATCTTAACAAACCGGGGCTCGCAAGTTGTATTATTGTATTGTTCGTACTGCGACTGTTGCTAAATCATTACTGCCATTGATAGTGGTAGCAATAAGTAACATGATGAATCTTATTGCTATTAAGAGTATCCTCCCTATTCACCAGATCTTCGAATTGGAGGCGGTCCTTGCCCTCTGTCTTCTCGAGCATCAGGGGTACCACAGTGCTGCCCACCGCGAGTGGAATGATGCACGCCTCGGTCAGCGACAAGCCTCCGTGACAATGACAACAACTGTCAGAATACAAGCTTGATGAGAAACTTTTATCATACCAGCGCAACCACAACATGAATGGTCACAAGAGACGTGGAATGCTGCCTGTCAGTGATTCGTGATTCTCTTAAACTCCAGAATGGCCAAAGCCTCAGAAACCCCGCTGCTGCACTCCTGTCTCCCTGAGAGCCCTGAACCCTGGAATCCTAGAACAGTGCAATCTAAACGATAAAACCCGAGCTCCCTACTTCTCCCGACTTCCCCTCGTCCCAACACGAACCTGCAAGACTCTAGACCCCAAAGACCCAGACGGATCAAAGAATAGGTCGAGCTGCATCCCCGACGTTGCTCATCCGGGCTCGTAGCTGCTTAACGGCCTTCAGGAAGAAGACAATCACCTGCGACTGGGTGATTAGGTTTGGGGCTTTGGGTTTAGGGTTTAGGGCTTTAGGGTTTTAGGTTCAGGGTTTAGGGTTTAGGGGTTTAGGGTTTTAGCTTCAGGGTTTAGGGTTTAGGGTTTTAGGGTTTTAGCTTCAGGGTTTAGGGTTTAGGGTTTAGGGTTTTAGGGTCGAGGTTTCAGGCTTCGGGTTGAGGGAGTTGAGCTTCAGGCTGATAGTTGGCCATCCGTGAGGCTCAGAACTTGGTGCAAAACAGCAACGACCGGAAGAAGAGGGTTTAGGGTTTAGGGTTTAGGGTTTAGGGTTTAGGGTTTAGGGTTTAGAGCTTGCCAAGCACAAAAAAGCAGGAGCCAAGCAAAGATCAAGGCAAAGCGCGACGGATGCCTTCGCGACCTTTTTTTTGGTTGCAGCTTCTCCACTACTCAACCCTAAACCCTAAACCCTAAACCCTAAACCCTAAACCCTAAACCCTAAACCCTAAACCCTAAACCCTAAACCCTAAACCCTAAACCCTAAACCCAGTACGAATGAAAAGCCTGGAGACCCGGCCTTTTCAGCCCAAGCCCTGAATCCGAGACCCTTAAAGGCCCCTAAACCCCAAACCCCAAGCCCGAAACTCTTTGAATCCCCTCTAAATCCCCTCTAAACCCTCTAAAACCACTCTCTAAACACCTTCTAAACCCTAAATCCTAAACCCTAAACCCTAAACCCCAAACCCTAAGCCCCAAACCCCAGACCCGAAACCCCAAACCCGAAACCCCAAACCCAAACCCAAAGCCCTAAACCCGAAACTCTGGGTTAAACCCCTAAGCCCAAACCCCGAAGCCATGCACTGCCCTACCGGTACACCCCAGACTGACCCCAGGGTCCCCGAAACCCAAGTCAAAACCCCAAAACCCCAGACCCTCTCGCTGCTCTCGCTTTTCGGGCAGAGAGATTTGGTTTAGGGTTTAGGGTTTAGAGGGTCCCCAGAGCCGATAGAAATACGGATTATACGCATGTGTGGGTCATGCTTTATTACGCAAGTAAGATCACCAACTTCCCTGCCACATAGAAACATAAGAATCAGGGACAAGAGACTTGGAAAATCCTGCCTGGGGCTCGGGTGACTCCAGGGCGTTGCTGAGCCGCCGGAAGAGGGGCTCCGCGGCCTCCCAAAAACTTAAGCGTTTTGGGCGTTTGGGGCTTCGGGGTTAGAGTGTACCTAGGGGTTAGGCCGTAGGGTTTGGGGCTGCGAGCTTAGGGCTTAAGGCTTTGGGTTTA